GGGGCTGACGAGGTGCATGATTGTTAGATGCCGTGCACTTCGAGTCATAGAAAAGTATGTGCTTCCATCGGTGGGACGACGAAATGTTGCAAGTTGCTCCTGGCCGCGTACGGCCGCGCCGACATTGCGACGCCACCTAAACAAAACGCCCCCGCCCCCTAAATTTCAATGTTGGCATCGAGCGAGCACCCCAAGTCCGGGAGGACAAAATAATGCAAGTCAACCTTGAAATACGGGGGAAGGGGAGCTCCTCGGATATCGATGGAATATGATCAAAATTGTCATCTTGTTTCTCGGAACGATCATATAACTTGCGACATTTTGTCCGCCCACTGAAGGTTCTGGGGGTTGGGATGTACTGGTCGTGGCTTTGATCGTGAAGAGCACAGGGGCCAGAGAGTTGCGAGCAGAGGCAGGGTTGACCAGTGATACTGGTGAGGGGGAGACAGAGAGAGAGAGAGAGCGAGAAAACAAACAAGAACAGTAAAGCATGCGCGACCACTATTAGATATCCGATTGCAAGATGGATAGGGAGGTCAGAGTGAGAGGGTAAGTAAACGAAATGCAGATCAGAGAGCATAGGACGAAGTTGGGTGAAAATGATTACAGAAAGAGAGAGAGAGAGAGAGAGAGAGATGGAGAGAGAGAGAGATATAATAAAAAAGAGAGACCTCTAGAGGAAGAGACAGAGAGACAGCCAGAGAGAGAGGGATACAAAACAGGGAAAGAGAGAGAGAGAGATAAAAAAAGACACACACACACACGCAAACATTGAAGTTGCTTGTTTTATACGTATATATTGTTGAGGGCAGGTCTGGGACGATATATAGAGTACAGAGCGAGGTGTGAGGGCAGATCAAGTAAGTACATAGAGACTGCATGTACTCTGAGTACCTCAATAGTTCTGGGATGGCCAGTTGTCCGGGGGGGGCCCTTGTCGTCTGGGGGGCCCTTGTAGTCTGGGGGTCCTGTAGTCCGGGGAGGGGGCCTATAGTCGGGGGGGGGGGGGGGGGGGGGGCCTTGTAGTCCGAGGGGGGGGGGGGGGGGTGGGCCTTGCAGTCCAGAGTCCAGGAGGGGGGGGGGGAGCATTATGATCTTCGCGGGGCGAGTCCCTGTAATATGGGGGGGGGGGGGGGCCTTGTAGTCCAGGAGGGGTCCTCGTAGTCCGGGGGGGGGGGTCCCTGTAGTCTGGGGGGGGGGCCTTTGCCTTTGTAGTCCGGCGGGGGGGGGGAGGCTTGTACTCTGAGAGAGAGAGCGCAGACGGGGAGCGCGTTGGGAAAAGTCCAGGCAAAAACGCTGAGGCTCTGTCGCTGGTGTATTCATGTTCTCTGGGTTGAGCTGTTGTTGTTGCAGCTGCTGCTGTTGTTGTTGCTGTTGTTGTTGTTGGTGTTGTTGGTGGTGGTTATTGTTGTTGTTGGTGTTGTTGTTGGTTGTTATTGTTGTTGTTGTTGTTGTTGTTGGTTGTTCTTGTTGTTGTTGTTGCTATTGTTGTTGTTGTTGTAAGTGTTGTTGGTGTTATTGTTGTTGTTGTTGGTTGTTGGTGTTGTTGGTGTTGTTGTTGGTTGTTGTTGTTGTTGTTGTTGTTGTTGTTGTTGTTGTTGTTGTTGTTGTCGTTGTGCTGTTTCGTGCGCGTGCTTTACAGCAACAAAGTTGGTCACCATGGTAGGCCATTGGACAGGACTTGGCAGTGGTTAGTATCCAGCAAGCAGCGAGCACCACGAATTGGCAGCGTTGGGCGATCAGCGGCCAGCGGTGGGAAGCAACAGACCAAAAGGTAGCAGCAGTAGGCGATCAGCGCGCAGGCGAGTATTTCTCTATGTTCATGTATTGCGCATTTGTTGCCCACTACTTGCACATGGGTGCCAAATGCAACTCGTGGCTGGTCACTGGTGCCCACGGCTTTTCCACTGAAGGATCACACACTGCCTGCTGTTTGCTCCCTGATTTCTTAGCCGTGAGACCACTCATACTCACGGCTGCTCAACTTGCCAGAGCTGTCTGGTAGTCTGGTGCATATGTGTGCGTGGGGGGGAAACAACAAAAAAGTCTGCCAGACCCCCCCCCCCTGGCAGTTTTGTTGTTTTTTTTATGCTGCCTCCCCCCCCCGTGGCTTCTGGGAGAAGCCTCAGGGTCTCTTGAGACAATCTCGCGGCCTCTGGGTGGCTCTCTGCGCATTCCTGGCACGTCGCAGAGCTCCTGGGGCAAGCCGATGAGCCTCTGGGAGAGGCGCCAGAGTTGTTTGGGGAGATTCCCTGCTTTGGGAGGTGCCTCCGGGCATTTCGTGCATGATTCAAACCTGCGGGAGATTCCTCGCAGCCTCTGATCAAGGCCTCGCATCAGCTGGGGGATGCATTGGAGTCTGTTGGGCAAGCCTGTGGGAGAACCTTGGTCCGATACCCTGAGCCACTTGGGTAACAGCCCCAGAGCAGGCAGGACTGGTCCCATGGGCCTTGGGCGAGGCATTGCTTGGCATTGGTTGGTCATGCTTGGCATTGTTTGGCATCGAGTGGTCGTGCTTGGCGTTGCTTGGCATTGGATGGTTGTGCTTGGCATTGGTTGGTCGTGCTTAGCAGTGCTTGGCATTGAGTGGTCCTGCTTGCCATTGTTTGGCATTGGTTGGTCGCGCATGGCATTGAGTGATGGTGTTTGGAATTGGTTGGTCGTGATTGGCATTGCTTGGAATCGAGTGGTCGTGCTTAGCACTGCTAGACATTAGTGTGTCGTGTTTGGCTCTGGTCGGTCGTGGTTAGCATTGTTTGGCGTTGTTTGATTATGTTTGGCACTGCTTGACAAGGACGAGTCGTGCTTGGCGTTCGCTGGCTGTGCTTGGCATTACGTGGTCGTGCTTGACATTGAGTGGACGTGTCAGGCATTAGTTGGCATTGGCTGGTCGTGCCTGACACTGCGTGGCATTGAATGGTCGTGCTAGGCATTGCTGGGCCTTGGGTGGTCGCGCCTGGCTGTGGCTGGTCGTGCTTGGCATTGGAACCTGGTTTTCTCTGGGTTGAATTATTGGTGTTGTGGTTCTTTGGTGTGCTTCACACGAAAACAAGGATGGTCACCGTGGTCGGCAACTGGGCAGGAATTGGCAGCGGCGAATCAGCAGCAAGCAGCGAGCACCATGAGTAGGCAGCGGCAGGCGATCGACGACCCGCAGTGGACAGTAACAAACCAGAAGTTAGCAGCAGTATAGGCGAGCAGCGCGCAGGCAATGAGGTGCTTGCCACTGTTCACTGATTGCTCCTTGTTTGGCACAATTGTGACACGGATGCAACCCGTGCTTGGTCATTGGCGCCCGCGGCTTATCCACTGACTGATCACCGAATGCCCGTTGTTTGCCCCCCTTGATTCCTCACGTGTGGCCACCAAGATTCATGGCTGCTCACTGCTTACTTTTGTTGGCCCACGCCTTACCCACACATTGTCATTGCATGTTGGTGTTGTTGGGGCGCGCGCGTATCGTGGAGTGGGGGCGCCCGCGCTGATCATTCTGAACGGGGCTCGTACAGCGGAGGCTCATGCCAAGAAACACTCTGCTTGCCTCCAGGATGCTCTGGGTTTCTTGGGCTTCGATGGTCCTGCTTGGGAGAGCGCGACGTTCCCACACCAAAAACCAATGTACGTCATGGGGGGTCAGGGTTGGGTTTCTCGTGGAAGGCTTCTTGTGGACTGGCCTCCCCTGTGTCCATGCGCTGGACGCGTACTTGTTGTATAGGGGGCAGCTCCGCGAGCAGCAGCTTGCAGCAGCGGCCCGCCGTGCGCACCCCGCTGGGCACCAGTAGTTGGCCAGGACTGCACAGCAGAGGGCCTGCGGCACGCAGCCAGCCAGCACGTAATGGCCAACCTCCCCCTCCTCCTCCTCTCCTCCTCCTCCTCCTCCGCCTCCTCCCCCCACTCCCTCCCTCCCTCCCTCCCTCCCCTCCTCCTCCTCCTCCTCCTCCTCCTCCTCCTCCTCCTCCTCCTCCTCCTCCTCCTCCTCGCAGTGCTTCGGTGAGCAGAGCGGAGCCGCCAGCGGGCACCAGGCAGCAGCAATGAACCACCACTGATCGTGCAGCAGCATAGCAGTGATCAGTTACTTGACTGCACTTAGCGGCAGTGGGCAGCACAGAATCAGGCAGCACTGCTGCACGCCGACGGTCGTCGCCGAACACCACTGACCATCAGCGAGCAATCATTTGGTTTGAGTGAGGAGCATTGAGCAGCAAGGTCCAGACAATGACCTGCAACGAGCGAGAGGCGATGAATCGTGATCAGGTGTGAGCACCGTGGTGAGCAAGCGGCGGGCCGACAACGCGCAACAGTGATAGCAGTGAACCTTACTGCGCGGCGGTGACCGCCCGTGGGCGGCGCTGGCCCGCGCGGCGCCATTTGCACTGACCCGGTGGGCGTGCAGCGAACAGCAGAGACCGACTGAAAGAAGCAGGGAACAAAACAAAACACTGGAGTGGGCAAGTACAGAGTAATCACTGCGCAGTACTGAGCACCAGTGACCACCAGGCAGCAGCACTCACGAACGGTGAGCAGCAGGGGGCGAGCACTGCATAGCACTGAGCGGCCGTGGGCACCTCCGAGCACAAGCGATCAACGCCGAGCTTCATTGATCAACGGCAAGTAAGCAGCGCGCTGCAGTCTGCAGTGAATGGCACTTGGAATCAGTAACAACAGGGCTCAGCAGTTGGTCATTTGACAGGGGGCGTCGGCACGAGCCTCGTGTGTGGCACGCGCCCCGAGAAATGATGCGAAACGACGACGATGGCTTTAAACTTGCCTGGCACGAACCCCGCAGGGTTGTGCGCGCAGGGCAGCTGACATCCCCCCGCCTCCCGCCTGGATAATCTGAGGGTGTTGGCTGCGCAGGCCCGAACTGGCTGCGCAGTCCTGGTGCGCGGGCACACGTGGGGCTGCCCACAACAAAAAGTTTAGTCATCGGCCTCCACCTCCCCCCCCCCGCCGGGCTAACCCGGGCTATGGCCGAAAACAGAAAGAAAAAAGATCCCCAGTCAGCACGAACGCCGCCATCAGCGCCTGCGCCAGGCGCGGCTGCTGGCAGCACGCAGCCGCGCTGCTGACCGGCATGTCCCACGCAAGGTTGCAGCCCGACGCGACCAGCTTTGCCGCGTGCGCCTCCGCGTGCGACCGCGGCAATGCCTGGGCGCAGGCGAGCGGTGCGGGACAACGGGGTCGCTTACGCCGACAGTCGCTCCGAAAAATTGACCGCGTAAGGTCGTTGTGTGCAATATCGCGTACGACCCGTTGATGTTCGTCGCTGGTCGTGGTCTTTGAGCTGGTGGTTCCGTCGATCGGCGCGGGCCCCTGCCCCCCTTCTGCCCCCTCCGTGTTCCAGATCTTGGTTGCTGTGGGCCTTGGCATCGCTCGGACGTGTGCATTTTTCCTTCGGCGAGGACCATCGAGGAGCATCCTTGATGATTTGGCGAAAAAACCACGCACGAAACCGAAAAAAGCACAGGGAATGGACGTCCGAGCGATGGCCAGGGGCGGCTGGTTTTTGTGCGACTGGTCAGGGCCCTCCTCTCGAGCCTGCCCTGCGCGACTGGCAGAAGCAGATCGACGAAGCACCGGGCCAGACCCAGGCTCCCCCCCCCACCCACCCTTCGGCCAAATGTCGAGACCCAGAAAAATACAGTCGGGGCGCTGAAGAAGGAACCCTTTTCGTTGGGGAGGGGCTCGGTGTTCCTTGATTGTTGTGCATTTTGCCATGGGAAATCGAAGTTTAACTTTTTGGGGAAAAGGGGCATCGTTCCTTATTTTGGGTTCCTTAGGTCAACGCCCCGACTGTATCTCTTCATTTATGTACTTCTACATCAGAGGAAAACAGAAAGCTTACCAGGTGATGGCGATCCTTGGCTGGATGCGCAGGGCGCGCGTAGGGCCCGACTTCGTGGCGCTGCACAGCGCGCTCAGCGCCTGTTGGCCGGGAGGACGCTGGCGGCCCGCGCTGGCGCTGCTCGCGGAGGTCTCCAGACGTCCGACGAACCGGCCTTTCTCAGCCCGGTGGCCCCGGAGGTCTCCCCGCCCCTCCCCCGGTCCGGATCCATTGCCGACGGCCTCGAGGCCCGAAGGCGGAGACGGCCCCCAGAGTTGTGATGTTCCAACCTATTGTTGAGCATTGACCAGCAGACAGAATTTCGAGCACCAAGAGAGAGAGCACCGAAATTGGAGGGTTTTCACGTGTCGGGCCCTGTGAGGCGCCCACTCGTTCGACATTTTTCGATCCTTTTTCTGGGTGCTCGAAATTCTTGCTGGGATGTGGTCCTTCAGGTACGATCGGAACAACATAAACCCAGAAGCCGAGCACACAGGGGGCACATCAGGCACAAGACCCGCCTGCCAGCAGCTGCCCCGCGACGATTCCTTGCTCACTGACGGGTCCGGGGGCCCGTGGAGCAGCTTGCGAAGCCCAAGGCCGGTTTAGCAACGGGCATTGGACTTAGCGTATCTGCTCGAGTGTATGCACTCTAGAATTATGATGTTCCAACCTACTTTGAAGTGTCGAGCACCAAGAAAACACCCCGAAACTCTATGGTTTTCACGTGTCGAGCCCTGGGAGACACTCTTTCGACACTGTTTCGACATTCTTTCGACACTTCTCCGGGTGCTCGAAATTATTTCTGGGATGTGGTCCTTAAGTACGATGGGAGCAACATAACTCTAAAAGAGGAGCGGCGGGATCGAGAGAATCGATCAGGCCGAAGCCCAGCTCCCCGACGTCGCGATTCCTCTGAACGGCGACCCTTGGAGGTCCAGACTGGCGTTTCACCCGAGCCGTTTTTCGGACAGCCCTGGAACCCAGCGAGGGCCCCCCCCCCCCAGGAGGGCGAAAATCGCCAGAAGCTTGCCGCCGTCAGTTGTTTCACCCACGCGGCGAGCTCCAGGCTCGGGGGTCGCCCTCCTCCTCCTCCTCCTCCTCCTCGTCCGCCTCCTCCTGCTCTTCCTCCTCCTCCTCTCCTCCTCCTCCTCCTCCTCCTCCTCCTCCTCCTCCTCCTCTGTCAAGATCCTTTGATACCGATCTCCGCTCTATTTTGCTGCCGCTGCTTCTGCCATACGCTCGCGGGAATGTCCGCCTCCTTCTTCGTCTTCTTCTTCCGAGAGCCACCTTTGCTCGCATCGTCTGGGGTGCAGTTCCCGCACATGCTTGCGGTCAGGAATTTCGGCTTGGCATGTCGCTCCGCCGGTTCTGGCCCACCACGCTTCGGCGCGACAGGCTGTCCACTCCCCAGGCTCCCAGCGTCAGCGCTTTGAGCTTCCCAGGCACTCGCCCCGCGGAGGCCCACCCCCGGCGGCGGCGGCGGCGATTGCCACGCAGGGCGCGCTCCAAGGCCCAGACATCCGAGGGATCCGTGCCTAAGATTCCGCCATCAGCGCTTGCACTGTAGGACTAGGATGTTCCAACCTGCTCCGGCCCTGATCACCCGAAGGAATTCCGAGCGCCACGGAAGTACCGAAGCTAGAGTGTTTTCACGTGTTGGGCCCTGGGAGGCGATACTCGTCCGACACTGCTTCCATACTTTCCTGGGTGCTCGAGATTATGTCTGGGCTGTGGCCCCTAAGTCTGTAGGGTCCTGGCGGATGGTGACAGAATGCGGTGCGTGTTGGTGGCCGCTTTCGGTGGGCGGCCGAGCTTCCCGTCCTGGGTGGCGGGCTCCCGCTGCTGGGCTCCGGACGGTTGCCGGGGGGCGGCCGGGCTCGTGCTTTTGTCCCGTTTTCGGGGCTCCCGGAGCGATTTCCGTTGGTGGCGGGGTTCCCAGAGTTCCGCTTCTGGTTCCCAGGTTCCCGGGTTTCTGGTCGACCTCACCCAATCGATATCAGTATCGACATCACTATCCATATGATTATTGATCTCACGATCGATCTCGCTATTGATCTCACTATCGATCTTAAAATCGATCGCACTCAATCGACCCCACTTCCAATCTCACGATCGATCTCACTATCGATCTCACGATCGACCTCATGCGTGATCTCACTCAATGGATCTCACTATCGATTTCAGTATCGCAGCTTCGCCTCGCCAGAATGCACGACACGAAACTAAAACCGATTCCCCGGTGGGGGGGTCTCCGTTTCACTGCGGTCTCACCCCCTCAACCTCCGATATATGCATATATATAGAGAGAGAGAGAGAGAAAGAGAGAGAGAGAGAGAGGAACAGAGAGAGAGAGATAACAAATAGAGATATTACCAACCAATTATGATAAGAGAGACAGAACGAGAGAGACGGAGTAGAGAGAGAGAGAGAGAGACAAAAAAGAGAATGTGCGCGTATACATAGATGCTCAGAGAAGAAGGTATATATAGTGTTAACTGCAGAAAGAGAGAAAGAGGGAGGGAGAGAGAAATAAACATATAATAAGTATACGGGGCTACAACGTATATTCGAACGACTTCGGCGGGAGGAAGGCCGATCGAGGCGCCTGCGAAAAAAATATAGAAATCCACTGATTGGGGTTTTCTCTGGTGTAATTTGTCTTGTTTCCAGTTGCTTCTGGGCTCTGTGGGACCACCAAAGCCAGATCTGGGACGAAACATCGCCCACAGAGAAGAGGTTGAGGGCTATTAAGAGATTTGACATCTTGATTTGTTTAATACGGGGCCCTTGGAAGTTTGGACCCGCTCTCAGGTACTGGCTTTTCATCCTGAGTCATGTTTGACGGCCCTGGGGCCCCACCAGGGATTCTAAAGGCCGAAAGCGGCTAAACACATCAGTTTTTTGTCAGTACGTTTGAGCTCTGGGGCCGTTGATTGAAACCAATTCATTGGCTGGGGGACCTACAGGACCCTCCGCGACATCAAAATCCCTAGCGCGCCATTTTACGAGACATGCTAGGCGCGCCATTTGCAAAAGTTGCTCCGTCGCCATGACGGTTTAGTAGGGAGCCGCAGGTCATCGCAGGTGCTTCGACCTGTTGGGCGCGGCATTTCCCGAAATCGGGTGAAGAAGTGCCGGGCGGCTCGGCAAAAAATGCCTACGCGGCGAAAAAAAACCGGAGAGGACCTCTGGGTTCGATGCTCGTTTGGGGAACCTCTCTGGAGCCGAGCTAGCGGATCTGTTCGGGGCTAGTTCGATTCTAGTTCGACACCGTTGCAGTTCGAATCAGATTCGACTCAGGTTCGCCCCAGGTTCGACTCAAGCTCGACTCGAGCCACGGACGTTCGACGCAGCTCCGACGCACGAGTGGAGCAGGTGGCTCCAGGAGCGTCTCCAGAATGAGCAAGGAGCATCTAACCGCAGGGTTCAGTCGGGCATGCCCCTCGACAGGAGGAATCTATTCCAAGACAGTAAAAAAAAACGGGGAAGATGTTTCTAGTCTGTTTCTTCATATGTTTTGGCAAGTGTCCATCCTATGTCCAAGATCCGCCTGTAGGGGGACATGCCCGACCTACCTGTAGGGAGCCCAGGTCTCCGGGCTGCGGGCGCCGCCGAACGCCGTCGGCCTCGCCGCCGCGCTCCTCGCCTGCGAGCTCGCGTCGCAGCCGCGCCCGGCCGCCCGGGCGCTCCGCGCGCTCGCGGCCTCCGCCGGCCGCTGGGCCGCCGGCGCCTCCTCCGCCAGCACTCCAGGCGTGCTTGACTTTTGTCAAAGGGAGGAGGAGGAGGAGGAGGAGGAGGAGGAGGAGGAGGAGGAGGAGGAGGAGGAGGAGGAGGAGGAGGAGGATGAGGAGGAGGAGGAGGAGGAGGATGAGGAGGAGGAGGAGGAGGGAGGAGGAGGAGGAGGAGCAGGAGGAGGAGGCTGGCGAGAACCCAGGTTACTCATCGGTCGTTGAAGGTAGGTAGTTTTGTTCGGATCCCCGGGTTCCGGTCTACTTTGGGGCGCCTTCCTACGTCAATGGGCGATCGGCTTCACCTTCGCCACTTGTGGGCGCCTGCCTACGTCAATGAGCGCGCCAGGCGTGCTTGGTTTTTGTCAAAGGGTCAAAGGGTCCGATGGGAGGACGATCTTGTATCTTTTTGCGAAGGACAAAGGATGGGAGTCGTGGGCCGACATTACCAGGCTGCCAGAGGCATGGCACAATTGTGAAGAGGAGTAGTTACGTGAACCGCATGTGGCACTGCTTTCATTTTGTCCCCGCAACCCCCTTCCTGGAGGCCAGCGCCTTTGACGCGGCTGCCACCCTTGCATGGATCGCCCCCGGGCGATGGCAGATTCGTTCGTTCGTTCTGGCGAGAACCCAGGTTAGCCATCGGTCGTTGCAGGTAGGTATTTGCGGCTTCCCAGATTCCAGTCCACTTGGGGCGCCTTCCTACGTCAATGAGCGACTGGCTTCCCCTTTTCCGTCCGCCTTAGGCGGCGGACGGAAGCCAATCTGCTCTCAACGCCTTCCTGCTTCATTGTTCTGCTTGCTTCTTCCGACCGATGGTCATCGAGCCCGCCTGCCCCTCCACCCCCCCTTACATACCCTGCCCCCGTCGGGCTGCGCAGGTCCGACGGGTGTTCCTCGGCCATAATGGGGCCCCTTTTGGGCCGTCTTGGGTGGTCATCGACCCAGCTGGAAGCATTCTTGGGCCGTCTCGGGGCCACATCGGGCCGAATTGGGCCCGCCCGGGGCCCTTGCACGGGCGCCTTCTCTCCATCTCGGGCCGTGCCGAGCTGCTCTCCGGGCCCTTGGCCCCGCCGCCCACGCCCACGCCCACGCCCTCCGGCCAGGCGCCCCTGCCGCCGCAGCCCCCAGCCGCGCCGGCCCCGACGGCTCGGCCGGCGCCCCCGCGCGTGAGGCGGAAGCAGCGGCACACGCGGCGCTGGCGCGCCAGGCGCTGCCCCTCGGAGCTTCGCGAGGCGCGGAGGCGGCGCTGCGGCGCCACGCGGAGGCTCAGCATCAGCGAACCGACCCCCATCCCCATTGGGCGATGTCATCTCAGCCCCATCATCCCCAGACCTCCTCGCGTTGTGCAAAGATCACGACGGCAGGTTTTTCATTACTTCTGGCCTCCAGGAGCCATTATCGGGCCTCGGGACCGTCAAAAAACGCTTCAGGATGAAAAGCCGGCGTCTGGGTCCCCCCCCCATGTTGGGGATACGGGCCATGCATGCGAAGCTCGAGGGGGTGAACCTGATCAGTGGGGCCGAGGCCACGCCAGTGGGGGCAGGCATCGGTGAGACGATGCTCAGAGGCCCCAGCGCTCAAGGCGCTGCGCGGCCTGCTGGCGCCCCGCGGGCCCTCGGCGGCCGCGCGCGTGCCCGCGGCGTGGCCGCAGCTGCGCCGCGGCGCCCTCCGCTCGTCCCTGGCAGGCGGCCTCCGCGGCGCCGCGGCGGCGCGCGGGGCGTGGGCCGAGCTGCGCGGGGGCGCCACGGAGCCGGGCGGCGCGGGCGCGGCGGGCCGCAGCAGGGCCACGACGGCGCTCGACGGCACCTGCTGCGCGTAGAGGTGACCCTTCGCTGGAGTGAGCTTTGGTGCGGGCCCGCAGGGGTCCTCCCACCGCGGAGCGCGACGTGGCGCGCGTTGTCTCGCGCGCCGGGGGCTGTCCCCGAAGCTGCGCACCCAAGGCCACTCCTGCCCAGGGTCGCTCTTGCGTGCAGCCGAGGGCAGCATCAGTGGTGGGGGGTGGGCGCATGTGGGTTTCGATGTTCGAGGTTTTCGGGCGCCTCCTCCTCCCCCTCCCCCCTTCCCCTCCTCCTCCTCCTCCTCCTCCTCCTCCTCCTCCTCCTCCTCCTCCTCCTCAGTAGCCGCGTTGGCTGAAGATGCAAAGTTCCACTGGGGCCGAAGTGGATACCTCCAGTCCGAGGCCAGACCAATCATTCACGCGCGGCCACCTTCGGAGACTGCGCCATCTTCACGTTTCCCACGCACTCCTCCGCAAGACTCGTGTGGGGCATTTCCAGTTGCTGTGTCACAGGACGCTCCAGCGCCACGGCCTCGTCGGGATCATGCTGAGGATCTCCCTCGCACTTTGACGCAGCGCTGGTGATGACGAAGCTGCAAGAAGGCGCGGGAGGCGCCAAGGCCGTCAGCGTGGAGGAGGGCGCACGGGCTCGCCAAGGGTTCGCAGAGGGCCTCCGCGGGTACTCATCGAAGTTCGGGCCAACAGTGGGAGGCCCTCTTCGACGCGTTGCTCGAGCATGTTGTACTCGACCCTTCCCACTACCATCCGGGCACGGGCAAGCTCGACTGCGTGGACAGAGTCGTCTCGGCAGCTCTTGGTTGGTCCTCCCTGCAGATGTCCATGGTGGGATCGTGAAGGGGGGCCGTGCGGTGCTGCATGCACAGAGTGTGTTCGACCACGCCGCAGTAATTCTTATCATTCGGCCGCGCAACTGCATCATCGCGCCGCTCGCCCTCGCCAACATCACCCCTCTCACCCTTCTCCTCGTCGACCCCTCTGTCTCCTGCGCCCGCCCCCCCTCACCCCTCCGCAGCGGTGGGGTGAGCTGAGCGAGGGGGGCGATGAGCGGGGTGAGTGAGGATGCGCCCCCCTCTCCCCCCCTGGCCCCGGGCCCCATTGCCGCCTCGACTACGCCCGCGCCCCCGCCGACGCCCCCCCCCCTGCCCCCCGCAGCTGCCCCGTCCGCAGGTGCGCGACCGCGACCTCGTCGACGAGTTCGGGCGGGTCTGTCAGGCAGCGGCTGCCGCCGCCGGCGCCAGTGCCGCGAGTGCGCAGGGGGCCGCGGCCGACGCGCCCTCGGCCCCGGCTCACCCGAGGATCAGCGGGCGCCCGGGGGCGGCGACGCGCCCGCCGAACCCGCGGCGCCAGCAGCGCCGCCCGCGGGCGCCGTCGCAGCGGCCGCGGCCGATGCCGCGAAGAAGGCGTCGGACGAGGCCGCCGCGGCCGCTGCGAAGGCAGCCGCGGCCGCGTCTGCCGAGGCGCAGGCGGCCGCGGCAGCCCCCCAGCAGGACGAGGCGGCCGCGGAGAAGCACGCCGGGGTCGCCGATGTGAAACGAAACAGACACGAAGCAGGTCGAGGGGCCGCGGAGAAGAGCGCTGAGGACGAGACCCAGACAGCCGCGGCGGCAGCAGCTCGGGCTCAGGCGGCCGCGGCCGATGCAGCAGCTCGGGCTCAGGCGGCTCAGGCAGCAGCTCGGGCTCAGGCTCAAGGGCGGCCGCGAAGAAGAGCGCTGAAGACGGGGCCCAGGCTGCGCGACGGTGGCAGCTTAGGCCCAGGCTGTCGCGGCCGAGGCGGCGGCGACGCAGGCAGGGGAGGCAGCCGCGAAGAAGAAGGCTGAAGACGAGGCTATTGCCAGGGCAGCCAGGGCTCAACCCACGGCTGTCGCGGCCGAGGCGGCAGCGAAGCAAGCCGAGGAGGCGGCCGCGAAGCTGGCGGAGGCCATGTCAGTTCAGAGCTACCAGTTATTTTTGAGCAGCGCGAGCCCGATGAAGCCCCGCGCAAGGAAGGAGGAAAGGAGGCGCGAGGCGCGCTCCTCGGAATACCAACCAGAAGAGCACCCACCCGCGCGGCGCAAGGACATCCAAGGGGAGGGCCCGAGCAAAGCGGCCAAAAGGAAAAACGCCGCTCAACTTGACTAGAGCAGGAAGGAACGCAGTTTTTTGGTTCACAAGCCTTGGCCCACTAGGAGCCAGGACCTTCCCCCGCGCTCGCCGCGCGGGGAAGGTGATTCCCTGCCCGCTGCCACGCGGGGCCCGATGGGGTCCCCCTGTTCCTGTTGCATCGGCCGGCTTGGCTAGCTCAGCGCCGTTAAAGGCACCGCGTCGCCTCGCTCCCCACGCGTCGGCCAGCTGTTTCTAGAGTGCGTGAGCCGCGTGCGAACCCTTGTTGAGGTTGAACACGCCTTGGCTCGCTAGGGGCCATGACCTTCCCCGCGCATGCCGCGCGTGGAAGGCGCAGCGCGCCCGCTGCCGCGCGGGGCCCGAGGGGGGCCCCGTTCCCAGTGCGTCAGCCGGCCTATCTGGCTCAGCAGAGTAGGGGCACCACATTACCATGGACGCGCGCCCTGGGCAGCCCAGCAAAAGCTGCGAGAGCCCCCAGGCGGCGCCACGCCTTTTCGCCGCCGCTCGAGGCTCGTTTCGCAAGGGGGCGGGAAGGGCCCCGCGGACCGCGGAAGGCGCCACGGAACATGATCCCCCCCCTCCTTCGCATAGAGTGCGTTCGTTGCATGAAAATTTGGTCACGCTCGGGCCTGCCAGTGGCTTAGGGATTCCCACCTGCAGCCCGCTGTGTCCCCTTTTCCTCCTCTCGCCCCCTGGCCGCAGCCTTCCAGGGCTCGAGCAGGCTGCGCTGACCCCCCCCCAGCAGCGGACCGCGCAGCGGCCTGACACACGCGGCGCCACGGAGAATGAGCCTCTTCCTCTTCCTCGCAACGAGTGCGTTAGTTGCATGAGAATCCCGATTGGGGCCGAACTCATGGCCATGAGAAATATTGTTCGGTGCATTTGGAATCAAGACGCATGGACAGCCCGAGCGTTTCTCTTCTCGCAGTCTCGAGGCGTCAACATCTCGAGGTCGGCGGCGCCATTTTTGTCCTCCGACTGCCAGGCGAGTTCCAGGCGTCTTCCGAGGAG